GGCTGGCGGTAACACCAACCAGACATCTGCGCCAGCCAACCAGTATTTGAACGTGTGGGACATCTGGGACATCTAGCGTCTCCAACTCACTCCAACTCACTCCACCTCGGACACAACCACCATCTCCTGTTAACTACGACCTCACCCATCACCCGCCGTGGGGGAGAGCTGGCACTTTGTCTCTTTTCGATTCTTTATACCACCGCGTGACTACTCTGTGCAGCTGCCCATCATGTCGGAAGAACGCAGTAAGATATCGCTTCGCAGCGGGAAGAAGCGCAGACCATCTCGCCCAACCATCAGCGCCCCCAGGCAGATATCAAGTCCTATGCCACAGGACAGCCCGCTTGGAGGAGCGCCACCTCCAGTTCCTGAGGCAGTTCCTAGACCGCGGCTGCGACCGCCGCCTATGGCAGGTGGAAAGGTACTGTTTGCTTTGACATACTTGCCATTGACTCTACAACATGTTGGATGAACTGTGGACTGACTTGCGCAGACGTCTGATCTAGTAAAACAACGATACTCTACCCGGTTCAACAACCTGCCCACAGATTTCGACCCCTCGGCTCCTCCACTGCCGGCAGTGCCTCCTATTGCCCAATATGATAAGAGGGAAGCTCAGAGACCCCCGCCGTCACGAGCAGGTGCAGCGCCAGTAATCGACATCAAGGCCCTTCGAGACCCCAATCTCGTCCCTGATCAGTACGTGTCAGCTGTGTTGGGAGACGCCACCGATGACCAAATCCGTGATTTTGAAGCCTCTCTTCGCAAGCTCAAGGACCGTGCTGCCACAGATTTGCAGCAGAACCTACTGCAGAATCGTACCCAGTTCATCAAGATTAGTAAGGAGGCCGAGAAGCTAAAGGGCGAAATGCGGGCGCTGCGAAACTTGATGGCAGAGCTCAAGACCAACACAACTGCCCTTCGAGCCGCCTCCATAAAGAGTGACGAGCCGGCTACCATACCTGGCAGTGGCCCCTCGGGCATGAGCAAGCGAGACAAGCGAAGCTCCGTTGCCGATAGAAGCGCGTTGTGGAATTCGCAAATGCAGGCCTTGTATAAGAATGTGGAGGGCTCACAAAAGTTTCTGCCCAATGCTGTTGGTCGTCACGTTGTCCAGAATGCCGGTTCCTGGGTGGAGCTGGATAACGCCACATACAAATCTCGACGAGCCATGCAAATCTTCCTACTCAACGACCACCTTCTCGTTGCGTCCCGCAAGAAGAGAAAAGTTGACGCACCCGCCGATGCTCGTGGTCCAATGATCAAACTGGTGGCTGACCGCTGCTGGTCTCTTCTGGACATTGAGGTCGTAGACATGCCTGGGACAGCCGAATCATCTGGAGGCAGGAACAAACTTGCCGACGCCATCATGATCCGGGGTGGGGGTCAAGAGTCTTTCATCTATCGAACAGAGAAACCTGAAGGTGACGAGAAGAAGACATTGCTTCTAAATGTGCGAAAGGCGGTTGAGGAGCTGCGAAAGGGTCTGCGGTCAGAGATGGAAGCCAATAATAAGGCCAGGGAGACTATAAACTACTTTGCGTCTAGAGATCCCGGCCTATTGCAGAAGACGGAACTTTTGGAGACATTGTCAGATATCAAGGACATGCTAATCGAAGTTGATGGCAAACAACAGAATCTTCGATGGGTCGAGGGTCAGATGGATGAGCTGGACATTGACATTGCCCTTCAGAAATTCGAACCTGCTGTTGCCCGCGTGGAAAAGCTCAAGAGCCTCGCCCGCGGCCTCCGAAGCAATTTGGTTGCGCAAGACTTTATTAACTTCAAGGTCGAGGAGCGATGCGGTAGACTTGCTGCCCTTATTATTCGGGAGCTGGAGTCAACCCACAAGTCGCAAATAAAGACTAAAGAGAGAGTTGGCTGGCTGACTATTCTTGGCTTTGATGACAGAGCCCGAGACGCTTACCTTAATGCCCGCACGGGGCTTATCCGCAAGAGGGCCAGGTAAAGATGCTTTCTTGTACATATTTTTTTCCCTTTTCGAACCGAGGCGCTAACGAGCCTGTAGACAGTGCATTTTCCAAGGCGATCTCCACTTGTACATTTGGCAGTTGTCCTTTGTGTACTTTACCATTATCCACAACACGGTCCAGACGTTCCAGAGCTGCTTCCCTCCTCCAATGATGAGTGCCTGCGTGAAGTGGGCCAAGGAGGAGGTGGAAGCGTTCAATGTGATTCTGTCTCGACAACTGAGTAGTACCGAGCGTGGTGGACAGGTTTGGACACAGTGTATGGATAGGGCCAAGGAACATGCCCAAAAGCTGTCGGATGTTGGGCTGGATTTTAGGAACTTGGTAGGACAAGACGGTGGACTATCTGCCAAGACGGCTGCCGAGGTGGCGGGACCTTCTCCTGTTGGGCTAGGACTAGCTTAGTCTTGTTGATTGCACGGCGTTGATTGGATTGTCAATAGTAGACAATGGCATGAGTATGACCTCCAGTGAGCAATGGTGACGAGAATGCTGTGTTCAATTTGGTCAAAGAGGAGGCGTGTTAGTGGATGTACATGTACACTCGGGGACACAAAGTCTTTGTTGAGATGTATGGACAAGTATACACACACTGGCATGGTACAATGTCTCAACCAACTTCCAGTGTGGCGTTTATGCTCGCCCCTGGCCATCATCAGCCCGCATCTGGAAGGCTGTTTCATCCGGTTTCCGGGGGCTTTTTGGTACAGGGTAGCCTGGATTTGCTTGGCGGCGGCAAGCTCAAGGGGAAGGCGTGTGGACCCACCCAGCCTTGTGCTGACACTGCTGAGGCTGCGAGCCAAGCTGGGTCAAAGCTGGAGAAAGCGCCCCCTCCTGCTTGGCTGCCATGTCTGACCACCGACAACCAAACGACTTCCATCTCCCACTGTTTTGCACCATCCCTGCCCGTCCGCGCGACAACTCCCACGAACACACCAAGAGGCAAACGAAATTCCCCCATTGACGAACCGCTTCACAGCTCTATCTGCGGCTATCGCATCACGCTTCAGACCCTCACGGTCCTTGCCCACTCGAACTCGTCCACAGCGTCCTTCGCCCCTCCCTCTGCTGCCAGCAACCGCCGTCTGGTCTGAGCATTCGAGTCTTTCTCCCTGCCTCGCTGCCCCACCGATTGCGACCCAGCCGTGACCTCAACGTCATTTCTCCCACCCTGATCAACCCGCAACTCTCGACACGCGGCACCTCGAGCAGAGCCGCATCGTAGAATCATGGATACCAACATGGAGGACGTCGGCAGGGCGCCCGCCGATGTGTCACCCGTCGCCAACGAGCCTGCCACCATCCCCACGCTCGACGGCTGGATCGAGAGTTTGATGAACTGCAAGCAGCTAGCCGAGGCTGATGTCCAGAGACTCTGCGACAAGGTGAGCAACATCGAAGAATTTAAAGAGGTGCTGGTCATGGTCTTTCGCTTTGTCCAGTGTTTGACCTCCATCCTGCCGAACCCTCTGTTCATGCTCGAGGCCGTACTCTTCTTAGTCTCGTCCTGGTCTCGTCGATCCAGGCCAGACGGCTTCACTGGAACCTCCTTTTTTTTGCTGATGGTGATTCGTTTTGCAACACAATAGGCACGAGAAGTTTTACAGGAAGAATCGAATGTCCAGCCAGTGGTACGTATGGCCTTATTCTACGATGTCGCGAGGGATGGCACAAGGAATGGGTTCTGACGTGATCGCTTTAGAAATGCCCCGTCACAGTCTGTGGTGATATCCACGGTCAGTTCCACGACTTGATGGAGCTGTTCAAGATTGGCGGCCCCAATCCAGACACAAACTACCTCTTCATGGGTGAGTATTTTTGCCTGCCGCCAAGGCCTCAAAATTCCCTTCTTTGGTTTCTCAAATGCCAACTTCCATCTAGGTGATTACGTTGACAGAGGCTACTACTCGGTCGAGACGGTCACTTTGCTCGTAGCCCTCAAGATCCGATACCCTCAGCGCATCACCATTCTCCGAGGAAACCACGAGTCTCGGCAGATTACCCAAGTCTACGGCTTCTACGACGAGTGCCTCCGAAAATACGGCAACGCCAATGTCTGGAAGTACTTCACAGATCTCTTCGACTACCTTCCCCTCACCGCCCTCATCGACAACCAGATCTTTTGTCTCCACGGTGGTCTGTCGCCCAGCATCGACACCTTGGATAACATCAGAGCTCTTGACCGAATTCAGGAGGTTCCCCACGAAGGCCCCATGTGCGACCTTTTGTGGTCGGACCCTGACGACCGTTGTGGTTGGGGTATTTCCCCTCGTGGTGCGGGCTACACCTTTGGACAGGATATTTCAGAGGCGTTTAACCATAACAACGGTCTGACGTTGATTGCGCGAGCCCATCAGCTGGTGATGGAAGGTTATAACTGGTCACAGGACCGGAATGTGGTGACTATTTTCTCAGGTGCGTCGACTTTTCCAGCTTAATTTGATCCGTTTGCAATATTGCTTTGTTAACTGATTATGTGATTAGCTCCCAACTACTGCTACCGATGTGGCAACCAAGCAGCCATCATGGAAATTGATGAGCACTTAAAATACACATTGTATGTATCTTGCCGAAGGAAAGAAAAAAAACAAGTAGGGTCGGACTGGATACTAATCATGCGCAGCTTGCAATTCGACCCATGCCCAAGAGCAGGAGAACCAATGGTCTCCAGACGTACGTTGTGGCCAATTCTACTCTGCCACGACACATGGCTAACTAGATGCAGGTACACCCGACTACTTCCTCTAATCATGTCGCTACTTGAAACACGGAATACATTTGCATTGGCCGGTTCATGTTGTGGAAACAATAGACGAGGTGGAGCAGGTGCAACTGAGTGTCCCGGAGATGTATTATTAATTTTGATGCCACAATCTACGGGACGGGGAAACGCCGCCATGACAAGATTTCATGGATTTCATGCATGTGGGATAGGGCTACAATGTGATGCCCTGTGGCAGCTTGATGATGCCGGATTCTGCCGTGGTAGATCCGCACGGTCCTTGATAGAGTCAAAAGACCGGAAGGGGAGGAAATACAAAAGAAGAAAGAAGAGAAAAATACAGAGTTGTTAAAGTTGCCGAGGACATGCCCGCCCCGAAAAAACAATGGCTCTGTCTGTTACTGTGATGGCTCTGTCGGTATATTTTACTGTGGTTCTGGGTAATTGTTCCCTCGCCGTGTTGTGACGAAAGTGAGTGTTTATGAGGTGGTGTGTAGGAAAATCTACGTGGTGTAGCCGGGTTTTGCTAGGAGTCTCATTGCTCGTCAAAGAGCAGAGGTAATTATTATGTGCTAAATTATGTTCCGTGTCTTGCGAACCCCTTTCTACCATGGTCGCTAAATGCATGAGGAGAAACAAAAAATCATGTACGTTGTGTCTGTGATATGCTCAGCCGCAACCCCCCGTTTTATTCATCTACACCGTGTGTTCCCGTGTGTCCTTCTCCTCCTCATCCGTCTCGGTCCTCGGCCGTTCCCCGTCGGCAGCCGCGTCGCCGGCCTCCCCCTCCACTCGGTTGGAGTAGTGGCCCGGCTTGCTCGCGCCATTGGGCACGTGGAACCGCAGATCGAACCTGCTCAGGGCATAGGTGAAGACGACGACGGCCTCGATGGTGTAGTTGACGCAATAGTAGGCGGCCTTGTGGTGGAACCAGGCCGGGTTGCTCGCGGGCCGCTGCACGTAGGCGACTCCCGCGCGGAAGCCGGCGGCAAAGGCCAGCAGGGCCGCGGTGAAGAGCACGAGGAGGACGCGGGACCGCATGCCGCCCCTTTTGCCAAAGTGGTCGATGGGCCGGCCGCGGCGCGGCAGCAGCACGGCGAGGGCGACGACGGGGACGGGAAGGAAGGCGAGGACGGCGAGGAGGGTGACGGCGAAGAGCTGGATGTCGCGCAGCTGCGAGCGGGCGCGGGCGTCGAGGGTGTAGAAGCCGTAGACGGTGGAGACGACGACCATGACGAGCAGGGCGGCGACGGCGGCGTACAGGAGCACGAAGGCCAGGGAGGCGGGCCTGCTCCAGCCGGTGCGAGGGTGGTGGGCGCGCAGGATGCGCTGCGAGAGCACCAGGTTGACGACGAAGAGGAGCAGCACGCCGGCGTTGGCGAGGATGGTGGCGGCGATGGCGACGGGCACGTCGTGCGGGTAGTTGGCCCAGACGATGCGCATGACATTGGCGCTGATGCGGGCCATGGAGAAGCCGAAGAGGAGGGCCGAGAGGACAAACTTGTGCCCGCGGCGGCGGTTGCGTTGGAAGATGGTCATGTTGAGGGCCGCCGAGGCGACGAAGAGGGCGATGAAGACGGACGAGAGGGGCGTGTCGACCGAGTTTGTGGGCGTGCCGCCGAGGCTGGCGCCCCGAGGGGGGTAGGGGGGCCCCTGCGGAGGAGGGTTAGCAATTTTGTAATGGTGGTGATGGTGACGACGGTGGTTCTTGGTGTTGTTGGTGGCTTGATGGGGGCGGGGGTTGGAGGGTACCATTTCCTGGAGCTGTTGGATGGACCGAGTCCCCTGTGGCGATGGCTGAACTGACACTATGTGTGTAATGTCATTTGCGTATAGTTCATCTGCCGGCCTTGTGTTGGGCAGTTGGTGAGGCGGCGCTGGCTGTCATCATGTTCTACCCCGTTCATGCAGCTGGAATGCATCATGTAGACGGGAAGCGTGGGAGGGAGCAGTCAGGTATAAGTACCACATCCTCATGTCCGCTAGACTAGGGCCAGCAAACAGAACCCGCGATAAAAATATCACAGAAAGCATGGCCAGGGCGGGCCGCGAGACTGTCTCAGCGTTAGGGAGCACAAGCGCAATGTCAAATTTCGAGTGTCATCAAATGGTTTCCCATCGGAGCTCGCGCGTCTGGAGATGCCGATGTGTCGGGCGGGTGGAGCCGCTGTTAGCCTGTTTGCTCAGTGGGTGCTTTTCCCCGCATGACTTCTTCGCGCGAGTTCGACCTTGGTCTGGCGGATTTGGTAACCCGTTGGCAACTAAGTGGCTAGCCCAGTTAGTTGCCTAAATACTTTATCAAAAGGCTCTGCGCTCTCAAGTAAAATCTGTGTCGGGATGTGCCAGCTCGCTCTGGATTGTATATTCGCCCGGTTCCCGGCCTCGGTAACCTGCTTTGCAAACAAGGCATGTGTGATGGAAGCAGCCGAGCGGGAAGAGACCCTGCTAATCAGCAGCTTCCCAGCACTTGTGCCATGGGCTATTACAGCAAGTTGGATGTTTTTAATAATTGCCTTTATCGTGGAGTATTCGCCTCCGGCCAGCCACTGGGACTTCCGTATTGTATGGCACATTATCCTCTCTCGGGAGCAAAAAAAAAAAACGTGACAAGCATAAACCGATAAACCGCAATTGTGGTTCTGCGACTGCAGTGATATGTACGGAGTATTTTTGAGGAATTTCAGCTCAGATGCCCAAGTTGCCTATTCCTCGGAGAAGGGTTTCGCGTTCCCGTTCTGATACACCGTCATCCGGCTCCGGCCTCATTAACTCAGGTCCATTGCTCCGTACCTCGTTATTCGCGACCGAGTGCACCCTACGTAATGTCAGCCCCGTCATTCATCCATCCTCTCCAGCTTAGGGAACCAGCACGTCGGTCACAAGATGTCGGAGGGTCGGCGGTTCAGAAATGCGAGCACCGACCTGGCGCCAAAGAAGCTTAATTTCTATGGGTCTTTCCGACTCGCGCACAATCCCAAACTTACGTGAGCTGTGTCATTGACCTCATCCCACCGCCAGCGCTGTTATACCATCAAGCTCGGCTCCCACTGCGCAATGGCAATGTCATCTGCACGGACGCGTTGTCGACTTGTTCGTCGAGATGGAACATGGTGACGGTGCAAGGCCCGTCCAAATAGCCTGCAAATCCGCAACTCGCTTCGAAAAACGTCACCAGATGTGTTACAGGCTACCACCTACGGGCAACCGCAGCAAACGTTAAGCGACATGTTGTCAATTCTTAATAAGTCTGGATGCTTTGAACGCAAAGCTTATATTATTTGGGTCCCGGTGGTTGACACAGGACTTGGCGATTTCGAGTAGGAAGCAAAGGAGATGGCACTGCGGCCACGAACATGAGCCATCTAGTTGAACCCTCAGAAGCGCGAGTGATGATGCCGTTGAGAGGGAGAATGACAGTGCTGCGAAAACGCCATTACAGTAGATAGTGTTGGCATGATTCGGGCTATGCATCCCCCCACCAAAGTGCTGATACGGCCGCACGTGTTGGCATATTAGAAGTTCGGAAATCGTACTTTGACTGGACGTATTGCCCCGGTGACATAGTCGGCCAGTCTTCTGTGGTATATCGATACAAGTACTCAGAATTAGTCAGAAGCCCATCTCCTTAGTTTGTGAGGTCGATCAAACTTGCTACCAACTTCAACCAAGACTGACGGGAGACTCTGCATCTTTCAAAATGGCAACATCTCTGCTTGCCTGCACTGACAGTCTTCCATGCCGTGTGTGGCACCGCTGTCAATTGAGGACTACCAGGCGAAGGAACTGGAACACGCCAAGCGATTTCTAACTTGGCGTGGGTGCGTTCATGTTCGTGAGCTAGGATGAAATAGTCTTTTTGCCTACTTTTTCCATGTGTTTGAGTTTGGATATATACTCTAGGGACGAAGCTCGAATAGAAATCTCAGACATGTTTTTCCAAGCCGATTTTGGCTCTGACTACAGTAGAGTCTTTCCAAAGGTGCGTGGCTGTATATAGCGTTGTATTATTCTTGTATCTTGAGACAAGGACGACTGCTTTGGTGCTGGCGAATGGCAACTATGAACAGAGTCGGGCTTTTTGTTATCTTAACAAGGTTGTTAAAATAATGCACTGCCCAAGATTTTTGCGATTTACAGGATCCAATGCGTTGATGGCAGGCGAATTTATCGTGTTTGGAATGGAGATAGATCCTTACCTGGATGTATGGAGTATATGAAGGGCATTTGTTGAGTTCTTTTGGCTCCTTTGCTGCCCCGTGAGAGAGAATTAGATGCTCGGGGCTGAATAAGGCCAGATCTTTCTGTGTGAGCTTGTTACTTCACACTAATCCGCAACATCTGTGATTGTCTGGGAGACCACGCATAGTGTCATTGTTCGGTCGCCGCCCTTGACATCAAGAGTAAACGGTACTAGGATCCCAGGTGGCGGTATATACGCGAGCTCGGCAGGCTCCAACCTGAGCATTGTATGAGGGCTAGTTGGCGAGCGATATCACACTATCTGCCAACCTCTGGGAACTGACAGTTGGTCGTCTCGAGCTCCGCTTCAAAGCACCCAAAGTACAAATAGATCGCTTCCATGATTCTGAATACCAGTGGGCGGGCGTGTTGGTTGGTGAACCCCTTCTCTTGTCGACTGTCTGTCAGATGTCGCAACTGAGTAGTAACACGGGGTGCTGAGGAAAAATAAGCAGCCAGATGTCGCCTGCGGCCGCAATACGTAAAGCCCTGTGGTGGCGGCGCCTCGTTCATCGCAACGCCCAAACATATTGTATTGAATGTACAATACGACCATGACTGTGGCAAATGTATTCTCATTCTAACTACTCCGTACGGAATAATGAGTACGGAGGACGCACAGTATTTTCGCAATATAGTGTGAGGTGTTTTTGAGCAACCTGGTAGCCTCTTTTAGCTGTCATTCGTATCGTCTTGTGAGAGCCATGTATCACACAACTGAGTCAAGAAGTAGGGACGGCCCTGGCGTCAAAAAGATGGAGTCTTACCCACAGACCTATGTTTACTTGAAACAATCTTTTTGCAAACAATAAAATTAACGAGACATAGAATCCAAGAAATGAAACAACATGTGACATACTCGGCAAAACATCCATGGGTTGAGTCGTTGAGCGCGGGGAAAGTCGTTCAAGCTGCGGCGACACAACAATTAAATTGTTTGGGCTTGCTTTTTCTTTTCCCGCCATGTTTGGAACCAACGAAATTCGGACATTCTTATTTTTGCTCAGATGTCCATCAGAATTAACTACGAAGTAGTTGCTCCATGATCGGCATACCAAGAGTCCAACTATGACGGTGGGAATGGCACTGGAATGCGGGAAGCATGACAGACGGGAGCTGTTTTAAAATGTACACAGCCACGTGGGAACTATACCCGGCGCTAGTAGTAACGGCAACTCTGGCCTTCAGTTGACAACAAGATAGGACCCAAACTAAGCCCTGGAGTAATGTGCCATCATGGGTGGTGACATTACGACAGCACGCAAAGTGAACTTCGGTATCGTAGGCGCCGGAACTGGAAACATATGCGATATGATTGCAGATCGATGCAACTGAGTATCTGTCGGGGTCGCCAATCATAGTCCACGGTTCTGGCTTTGATGCACAAGCTCCAAGTAAAATTACGCCTCTGGCGCGACTGGGTTCCGGGTTTTGTTGCGTGTGTGAGTAAACACATCTCTTCCGCTTGCCATGCATGGTAACACCCAGCTAGCTAACACAGCATGTCCGTGGTTTCCAGGAAAGGAGAAATCCAAGGGACCCTTACCAAGTGGCACCAAAGTGACTGATCTGTTGTTTATTCAGAGTCGCGTCTTGCGAGTAAAACTTGCTGTTGCTCTTCTTGTTGTCTTCCATTTTGGCCTGCATTTCTACCCCTGGCGTCATACCCCCGTCTGTTCCTGCGCGTCCCCTGTTCCGCAAAATTGCACAGGGCACGACAGACGTCAAATGGTTCCATTTGGCATCCGCTTTGCATATTTGCAGTCTAGGAACGGGTTATTTCTTCTCAGCGCCAAATAACCTAATGGAGCCTCTCGAGTTCGTTCCTGATCCAGTGCCATACAATCCTCGGGCGAATCGGTCGGTTGAGGCGGTCTGTGGGACAAAACACGAAGCAGTACTCCGTACGGAGTAAATATTCCATGCTACAGGCAGAGGTCAGGATCGTTGCGCCCATGTCAGGTACGCCGCGCGGTGACGTCTCAGCCGGGTGGTGTTTGCTGCAGGGCGCCTGTCGTCTGCTGCAAGGTGTCCTCCGCTGAGTAGCATCCAGGTTGACAGGCTTTCCCCCTTACGGTGGCGCTGGGCGTTCATCAATCAGTGCGAGGCGCTGGGAATATTGGATGGTGGTTGCATTGCCAGACGGTTCTCGGCTACAGAAGCAGGGGTCTGACTGGGCTGGCCCATTTTGGCTTGGTGTGGACAAGGGGCGGCGGACCTGACCAAACAGAAACAGAATGCAGCAGGGGGCACGACGAGAAAGGCACATTGTGAGGGTGGCATGGATAATGACAGCCAATATTGTTACGAGAGGTTGCTGGGAGGGACAACAAGTGTGACGAGGTGGTGAGGAGTGAGAAGATGGAGCGAGGAGGGAGAGGAGGAGGGGGAGGAGGAGGAGGAGGAGGGGGAGGAGGAGGAGGAGGAGGAGGAAGGCGCGGGTTTTTTTTTTTGGCCTGCAGGAAGGAGACCAGGCATCGCGGTTGCCCGTTTGCCATTTGGGGAGCCTGCGAGAAGTCTGAGCCTGAACCTGAGCCTGAGTCTGAGAGCACTCGAGTCTGAGAGTCTGAGTCTGGCTGCGTCCCCTTTGATCGGCAAAACACCAACATTTGAGCTACACTCCCCCAGCTGCCGCACCACACTCCTCTGCAGAGCCTCTGTGCGCACACCCTCATGCTCTCCTCCTTTCTTTCGTTTTTCCTCCTTCCCTCTCTTTTGTGTCCGCAGTCCATCGCATTGGTTTTTGGCCCCGCTGCTGGTTCTTCAACGTCTTGTCGGGCTTTGCGCTTTGCATTCTCTTTTTTTGGGATCCAAGGCGCCCAGTCACGACTCACGACTCCGTCTCCTAATAAGAACCACCCTACCTACCTGGGTACCTAGGTGCTTCGGCTTCGGCGACTTTGACTTCACGGCGATATCCTTTCTCTCCGCCTGCGGCCCGCGATCCTTTGTCCCACAGCCGTTGCTGTTGCCATCGTCATCGTCCAACGCCTGGCTTTCCATCGCCGCCCCAATTCCTTCACCTTGGTTTAGCGCCTGCCACTCATTACAACTTCAACCCGAGATTTTTATCCATCTCGACGACGTTCCTTCCCACATACGCCAATTGTGCCTTTAATGTCTATTTTCCTCTGCGATCTGCGACCTGCACCCTACGGCCTGCAATCCTCAATCGACCCTTCCTTGCTTTTGTTGGACTGAAAGTTCGCATTCTGTTTCTATCAATTCTCTTCTCAGCCTGTCCAATTTCGATTCCCGCAGTATTGGATTTGCGTTCTGTGCGTTTTAGCTGTCATTGAAATCAAGGCAAATACCGAACAAAGCTCGACTACGGGTTGGACCGATTTCTTTCATGCTGTGGCCCTCTCTTTTTGGTTAGGATATCCATCGACACAGCATTTATCCACCAATTACTTCGTTACTGCTATCCACCGGCATCACCGCTTCATTCGCGTCGTCTAGATCACTACATGGCTAGTTGATAGCCACAAGGCCTCTCTATTCGCTCTAGCATCCATTTTGCGATAACATGGTAACGTATCGGATGCTTGGCGTAATGAACATGGCCATGGAACTGCCTTGCGATCGCAAGGCTACGGCGAAGCGCTCCTATCGGCACGTCGACAATAGTCATACACCCTTCACAAACCGCTCTATGTCTGGGGGAGCTGCGGCACTCACTCTACTTACTCTCATGCCTGGAGTAGCATCGGCACAAAGCAACGGCGGATGCATATCATTACAAGGCTCAAAAGCATGCCCTGCTTTTGGATCGGCTTCCGTTTCGACCAACAGTGGCATGGTCCAGATGTAGTAAGTTCAGTTGGTCCTCGGCTGGACGACGCGGGTAATTGACCTTTGCTGAATCTAGTCCGTTCTTGCAATTTGTATCCGACACAGGGTCCTTCGACTATCAACTGTCGACTTACGTGAAAACATCTTATGTAAAAGACAAGTAAGACCGCCGCAATGGCTGCGAGCCCCAATTTTGGCCTCGGATCTAACCTCGACTTGACAGATATCAAAGCTTATTCGGCTGTGGTAATATCAATTTTACTGACCCGAGTAACATGTACGCCCGGTACACAACAACGCTACTGTGCAACACCCTCATTCAGAAGTCGATTAGCTCTTGCTCGCTTACTGGCGACGCGACAAGGCCGTTGTGTGCAGATACATGTGCCGATTTTGCTCAAAGTGAAGCCTACATTACTGCTGACAAAAATCTCTGTTCTAACCCTGGTCCTGATTTGAGCAAACTTATCCGCGCCGATTTTGCGACGTGCTCTTTGCCTGAGGATGCCCTTACCAGCAAGTGCATTGCTGGATTTGACAATGAGTCATACAACTGTGGTTTTGGTAATAGCACTATTGGTCTCTGCTCCTACTGCGCCGCCGGAGGCACCAACTCAACCGATACCTGCTGCTATAATGCGAATGCCGAGAAACGATGCGAAGGTGTTAAGCTCCCCCCTATCACCGCGACCATGACCTTTACTCCTCCAACCGCGACATCAACACCATCTTCAACTGGGACTCCGGGTGATGCTAATGGCAGCGACGGCGGCAACAAGCTCAGTGGTGGCGCCATAGCTGGTATTGTTATCGGCTCGCTTATTGCAATTGCCCTCTTGGCTCTGGCGATTTTCTTCTGTTTCCGGGTCATGCGCCGCCGACGTGGAAGCCAGCAAGGCAGCATCTTTAACCAACCCTCTCCGGCTCGAAAGGGTCCTTTGATGGCACAAGCTAAGCAGACCGCTCCGGAAGGATATGAGGTTCTACCTGGTGGTCGCGTGGCTCGTATGGCAGCGTTGGAGGGCCATTCTGGCGGTGGCGGCTCACCCACGCAACGAAGCGGCAACAATGGCGTTGCTGCTTTCGTAGGTGGTGCTCCTCGCAAGGGAACCGATACCCAGTCCTCCTCTGACGAGTATGCTGAATCCCCCGAGCGTGGAGGTGTTTTGCGGCCGCCGCCAACATCTAGAAGACAAGGGTCATTGTCAAGCGGCTCTGCTCTCGGGAGCGATGACCCACAATCGCCGGGCAGTGCTGGATATTCTTCACCCCTCGGTATGGCTAGCCAACAGTCGGAGCAACTGCCGTTTTTCAAAGACTACTATTCCCAGGATGATATCCATCCTTCCGACAAGGTGGCAGTTCTTTGGGCATATCAACCTCGCGCCGCCGACGAATTCTCTCTTGAGCGTGGCGACATGATCAAAGTTGTTGGAATCTGGGATGACGGCTGGGCCACAGGCATCATGCTTGATGAACGTGCAGACGAGTGGGAAGCTCGACGACAAGCCCAACGGGACAGTGGCGTGTCGAACACGTCGGGCATTCGCGACGAATCGCCAGAGGCCCAGGGTGAAATGAAAGCATTTCCATTGGTGTGTGTCTGCCTGCCAGAACACTGGAGAAAAACAATAGAAGGCGACGGTTCTACAGAATCTGCGTCAAGTCCGGGGCCAACGATACCAACCAGTATTTCATGATATTAGGGAACTCCGACTCGTTCCACGAAAATCCGACTTTGCGGCAGTTTCCTCTCCATGTACATAGCGAACTGCTTGCACCAACCCTGCTTGTAGCCAGTTGCAGCTGCACCTCTGAACTACAGCAGCTCGTCATTTCGTATCTCGATCGCAATGTTGAGCGATGTACATAATCTGTTTCTACGACAAAATCAACCGCAGCCTTTCAGCATCACGACGAATGAGCGAGCGTCCGACGTCCTAGCGACCATCATGCCTGTTACCCGAACCTATTTGTTGGCCGTTTTCATGTGCGCTAGTAACTTTGACGAGAGAAAATCAGGCGCGCATAATCTTAATCATTTTATTACCTCCGATCACTTGGTCTATCATTCTTGATTCGAGTACCCATATGAGCATTAACTGGCGTTACATCAAGGCCGAGGCGAAGGACAAGCAGCATGAATGACTGTGGTGGTCGATAATGTTTGATAATTAACTTTGCCTGCAAGATGGCATAATTCTACCTGAGACTTGTCATCCGTTGCGAGCTGCTATCGTAGCGGTGGTGAGAGGAACTGCTTGGAGGTTCGAAAAATATATTTCACGGGCCTACATGAGGCAATACCTGGACATAGTCATACGAGAGGAGACGCAAACTCCTGATTTACTCACGTAGTTTAGATACCAATGGATACCTTCCTGAGACGACGCATTTCTTTGTGACCAGTTTGTAGCGGTATGCGTGAAATACCATTGTTGATTTGGGTTCTCTTAGGTCATATACGCCAAGGATATTTATAAAAGTGGCGGCCACGGTGCCATTCTGTCATGATTCCATTCCCTCAAGACTGTCTGTTTCAAAGGCGTAGATCTCGACGTGAGTAGTTCGTAGTAGTATTACCGGCTTCTACCGTGCCGCTTAGTCAACGACTATTTGGGATGTAAAAGCTTCGTTGGTGGGTGCCCAGGATTGAATACTAAGCAAGTGTTTTGGGGCACGACATGACAATGAAGAGCATATGAATACGTAGCTGAACGTACCGCCGGCCATTTGGAGATGTTTTGATTTGAGGACCTGGAGAGGACTGACTTTTCGGAGAACATACGACCCAGTATCACTGTTTGCAGGGCATCACTGGCTCTCTCTCGCCCATAAGCAGCTTGGATACCCATGGCTACTGCAATCAACGCGGCGACCCTGGCACCGGCTTTGCCAGCTGTCACATACATGTACGGAGTATTCACTGATCATCTGGGGAACATTGAACATTGCACGGGGACCTAGAAGAGCTAGAGCTCGCCGACTGACTTCCCCTGGCAGGTTCCAACCACAGCGGGGCTCTAGGGGCAGAGCGAGACAACTCGACAAAGCTACTCCGTACATGCACATACTAATCACCCACCCACCAACTCTACGTCTCTGAAGCTCCGTGGAACCGAATCGACGAAGCATAATCCAACAAAATCGATTGAAACTTGCAGCTCAACGCAATGGCCGAAGCCAACGCCCGGGCCGAAGCCCTTGTGCCCAAGTTCCAGCTGGAGCGCGTCCTCAATCAAGGTACATCGCCTTCGTGCCCTTTCACAAAGCGAAGAACCGCTTTAACTGTTCAAAAAATCTGCAGATCAGGCCGGCAGACGGACATCCATGTACGGCACCATCGACAACGAGCCTGCGCTTCTCATCGTCGAACGTGCCCCGTTCCCTACATCCGACAAGTATCTGGGCCGAATCCCATCTTCCCTCGCCAGACTGAAGAACCTCGGGGCCAACGATATATACAGCTGGAGCATGGCACGGACAGGCAGCGATGACGAAGAGGAGTCCAAAAAGGAAAAAGCAGGCTTCTTTGCCGATTTAAAAATCAACTTGATCTACCCTTGCACAGAGGCACACGTTAAAAAGTACAGCAAGCAACACGTTCGATTTGTTACGGAGACGCCAGAAATATATAAAGACAGTATTAGACCGTACATGCAGAGCAAGCGCGACCAAGGGAGACTAAACTGGGTATTCAACATTATCGAGGGTCGAAAGGAAGTAGAAGACGTCATTTATAGAACGAAGCTGGGGGAAACGGGTGACGAGGGCTTCCTCCTCTTGCCCGACCTGAACTGGGACCGCAGCACGCTAGATGCGCTGCACCTGCTGGCGATTGTGGAACGGCGCGACATCTGGTCTCTGCGAGACCTAAAGAAGAAGCATATCCCTTGGCTAGAGCACATGAAGACCAAGCTTATTTCGGCCACGGTGAAGACGTATCCTTCCATTGAACCGGACCAGCTGAAGCTGTATGTGCACTACCAGCCCACGTACTACCACTTCCACATTCATATTGTCCATGTTGCGCTCGAGGCTGGCGCCACTCAGGCGACGGGCAAAGCTTTCGGGCTCGATGCCATTATAGAGATGCTCAAGGTCATGGCTGGGGATGAAGAGGCAGGGATGGATGCTGTGTCAATGACGTATACTCTTGGCGAGGCCAGTGAATTATGGACAGAAGTATATGAGCCGCTTAAGAAGAGCGGTAGAGCTTCTCGATAGCAAGAACAAGGTCGTTTACGCCTGGTCCATGAGGACAGTCCTTCCATTCTCCGCCGTCTCGAATGCAATAGATTTCCTCGTTGAGTCGAATCGTGCAGCTTATGGTAACATTGGCCTACGCAGATCAGTCACTTGTCCTGCGGCTATTTTGCTATACTGACAGCAGTATAGTATGGCGCATCGTCTGGAAAGCGATTACTTACGTCTGTGGTCCGCTGAATGCTATCTCGCAAAAGACCCATGCCATAGGCACCATCATCTCTGGCGGCGCACTCGTTGATAGCTCCTATATCGATAGCGTGCTCTAATGCGCAGTCTTCGACTAGAGCACGCTCGGGGATATCTTGATAGTCCTTGGTCAAGCACATAATAAAGCCGAGGTTGATCTTTGGATCCGGGTAGAGTTCGCGTGCGCAAAGCTCGATGATGTTGCCCATGCATTCAGAGGGCCCATGTTTGCACTCGACGCCGTCGTCGGCCGTTGGACTGTCGTTCCAGATACATTAGCGTCCCGATATTCCGCACCGCTGGACCCTGGAAAGAACGTACGTTCCAATATAGTTGAGCTTAAAGTCAACCTTGTCATACACCCGCTGCATCACAGGAAGGATCAGCTCCCTCAAAGCATCCTAATCGGAGCATTAGTAACAGCCAAGCCGACACAGGACAAGCTTGTTGTCTTTACGCCGCTGTACTTACTCTAGTATCTGGGCATTTACTAATGATATGAGCCTCCAGAGGCACGAGATGGGTTGTGGCTGGGCCGGCGAACGTGTACCGGTATGAGATACCATAGATGCCTCGGAACAACAAGATGATGGCCAAAATAGGAAGCAGAAATCTGCGGAGGCGGGATACTGGCGACATGCTCGGTGAACGCTTCAGACTCTCGCTGGAAATGCCCCGGGCCAGTTGTTGCTTGCCATCCATAGCTGGAACCACTCCTTGTATTGTTTGATTTCGTCTACCGCGGCCGACGTCGCTGCAGATGTGCGTTTTGCCGCTTCTCACTTCGCAAGATGCTCCCGTGGGCTGGCGAGTTTCGAGTGTAGACCAAACGACCAGGTCCTAGGTCGCTGTCGCAGGGCGGCGAGGTTGTTGCAAGATCGTCTCGTTGTGCTACGGGAAAGTCCTACGCTACACGAGCGGATGCTACCTACTGTAAAGAGCAAGTGGGTTGGGGTCGGCTATTGAAGATCTGAAGGTATGAGTATGGAGGAGGAGTTGGATGGAGGGCAGACGAGTCGTGGGGACCGAACAAGCTTCGGTACTAGCTGCGCGTGGTGTGTTTTGCATATGCGTGCGGGCCACATTGTACGGTTACGGAGTGAGTACTCCGTACTGTCCGTACTGTCCGTGTTGTCGGGGGTGTGGATGTGGATTTGCTACTCCGTAGAGACGCCCATGCGTCTGAAGTCGCGGCTGGTGGATTCGCCTTGTACCACACAAGAATTACACCACTAGGCCAAAAGTGAAGCTCCACTACTCCGTAATGTAACTAGTACGTGCGACACCTTGAAATCGCATATTATCATTCGCTGAAGCTTCAGTTCATAGAGACACGCGTGCTGGTGGCTGACAAGATATGAGGCGTTTTGCTTACGACCTCTAGAACAAGGATGCCTGCCGGCTTGCAATAATCGAGCATTTGTTGATTATCGGTTCATTTATTGTCGAAGACGGACTGGTACGTTTTATTTCCCTGCATGCAACGTTCTTCCAAATCCATGAAAGCACTGGCCGGTTTATATGTATATTTGCAATGTGTGTGTTAACACGAAGCCTTCAGCTAATCACTCAGTAGTACGACCATCAAACGCAGGCTGCGCATGGATCTGGATGTCGGATCTAGAAAGATGAATATAAATACGTGCATACCTAGGTACCTAGGAACATGTACCTACTCCGTAGTACGGAGGTTCATCCACGAAGGACATGGTGTGGCTACCGGGGAGACGATCATGCCAGAAAATTGCATGATTAAACTTGATGTTGGGTAGAGCGCAGTATTCAGTTGTTCCCTGGTTACACACCACCACGTATTCTGGGTCTCTTTTCCGTTGTTAGGAACTGTGAACAGCGTATTTTCATGCTCGTATCCAGATACTGGAAGAATGGCCCCAAGTCTGGTCAACTTCTGGACAAAGCAGGACGGGGAGATATTATGCGGGGGCTTGCAGCAAGCATCATCCATAGTTCTTCCAGTCTTCCCTTTCGTGCTGGTCCCACGTTGCATCTGCAAAACTTTAGCCACCTTTGTTGCCCCTCCCTAATAATGGTCCTCTTCCTGATGTCGGTGAATCAGCGTTTGACTTGAGCCGACAGTTCGTCAGAGCTCCTGGTTCGTTATTAATGCTGGCTCAGCTTGTTTCTCCAAGCCCCGCACCGTTGGCGGATCGTCACAAGGGTCGGCGCGCATTCATCTGCGGACCAAGCTGAGTTTGGTGAGTCGGTGGTGGTACTTTGGTATGAAGGGAGTGGTCACTGAATGGCAACTTGGGTGGTTTAGCGCCCGCTGGCAGTGTGGCAGCATCTAGTTAGATGCTGAACGTGAATACCCTGATGGAGCGGCCACAAGGCTCTCGCGCTCCCTTTCCCACGCCCTCACTCTCTCTCTCTCTCTCTCTCTCTCTCTGTCGCGCGCGCTCTCTAGTGTGGGTGCAACTTTGTGGCGTGGCCTTGTCACCACCCCATCTCAACAGGGAGCACTCGAGGAGCGAGCAAGGAGCACAAGGTATTAATATCCGATCGCGCGCCTTCGATCTTTGTTCGGTGGTGCCGTAACGCCGCAACAGAGGTTGGCTCCATCGATCAAACATCTTACCTTGAAGACTGGTTTGGCAAACATGAAAGTGAAGGTCGACCGCTTCCCTTGAACGAGACATCGCACCCTCTGCCTCGTTCGCCCAGGTGCTCCTTCCGCTTCCCCGTCGCGGACTCATGGCCGTGAGTGGCACCTGCCGTTGTCGGTCATCACATATCAAATCGAATCGCTTGCATCGGTTGACCAGCTATCATGGCTTCGACATCGGAGCAATTGACTCTCCTTGGTGCCTTTCTGGAACCCATGAGCATTGACGTCGAAAAATGCCACGTCCTATCGGACCGATTTTTGCAAAACTTCACCCATCTCTCCGCAGAGTCCTTGGATCAGTTTTTGCCGACCCCGATCTCCGAGTCCATTTTACGCCCTGTGGAAGACTATGGCCACGGACGGTAAGTTGCCAATTTTGTTCAACTTTTCGTTGTTACTTGACATGCCACGGATATTTCGAAGGCGCACCATTTCTCTTCCTCCCTTGACCAACTTCAACATGTCAATTTGAACAATGCTGCACTTTTCCAACCTAGTATCTAATACTCGAGCTAACAAGTGCTCTCGTTATGCAGGCATCTTGCTATCGACATGTAAGCACGTGAAGCTCAAAAAAATAGAAGCATCGGTGTCGTTCTGTTTGCCTAACCTCATCGCAGCGGGGGAACCAATTTAAGAGTTGGCTTTGTAGAATTGCTTACAGTTGAATCCGTCATATCTGCAAGCAATGGCGCCACGACGACAAGTAATGGCATCAATGGGATAAACGGCACAACTAGCATCACAAAGGACCAGGCTATCCCAACATTGCCCACTGGCCGCTTACGCCGACAGCTGGAGAAGTCATGGCCAATTTCAAATCATCTAAAGAGCGACAATGCCGACAGTCTGTTTCTTTGGATTGGAGAATGTATTGCCGAGGTCGTTGAAGAAGGATGCAAGACATTCAACCTCCCCGTCGAGGCACCACTCCCTCTTGGCATCACATTTAGTTTCCCGATCGAACAACCATCACTAGAGAAAGCGATTATTTCCTCTATGGGCAAAGGCTTTGCCATCCCTCCCCATGTTGACCTTGGAACACGCCTTCAAGCCGCATACGATAGGCACAGAGGCCACAACTTGCCGCCCATTTATGTTGCCGCCATCGCTAATGACTCGGTCTCCACGCTAATATCTTTCATCTTCAACTACGACAGACTAGCCCACCGTCGTGCCGCAATGGGTCTGATACTGGGAACTGGGAGCAATGCCACAATCCCTGTTAAGCTCAGCCTTCTTCACCCTAGCAAACGACCTAAAAACGTGAATGTTCTGCCTGGCGAGAAGGTAGAAGATGCGAAAATCGCGGTGAATACTGAATGGAGCATCAACGGAACGGCGCCGCCGATGCGCGAGCTTGGGTTGATTACTGGCTGGGACGATGAGCTCAGTGCGAAAAATGAGAAACCGGGATTTCAGCCTCTGGAGTACATGACAGCTGGCCGATACCTCGGAGAGCTTGGACGTATCATGCTGGTCGACTACATGACCAGCAGACTGAAGGTTGGGAGGGATTTGCTACCGCCAAAAATCTTGGAACAGGGTAGTCTGACGACAACGTTTTTGAGTCACTTCAAGCCGCTACAGCCCACCACCCTTTTACCAACTCTGAAGACTGAGTTTCCAGAACCGTCGGGCTCCCAATTCGTTTGGACGGAGCATCATGCCGAGGCGTTGTATCGTATTTCCAAGGCCATTGAAGTTCGGGCGGCCGGGATTATAGCAGCGGCGATTCTCGCGTTGCTCACTCTCGGGGAAGAAATTCCTGTTGATGGGTCATCTCCAATTCCAACATCAGAGACTCGCGAGCTGGGGGTCGGTTATACTGGAGGCTGTATTGTGCACTTCCAGGACTATTTAGTGGACTGCCAGCATTTTGTGGACCAGCTTGTGAAGAGGAGGTGTGGGAATGACTTTCCTCTTAGAGTGACAATGAATCCATGTCATGACGGCGGAATTACAGGCGCTGGAATCTTGGTTGCGGCGGCCCTCTCCAGTCAGGCGTCACAAACGTGAAGAGAGGGCCGGGAATTGTGCCCTATTAGTCAGAAAGCTTCATCAATACGGAGTACCAGTAGTCCACACGTGGTACGGAGTTACAGTAGGACTCGGATGACTGGGAATAATATAACCTGGCTCAGTGTGCGGGCCGGATACGGCCGTGTGTCGGGCGAGGAATTGCCCAACCAGAGTCGCACAGATATAAGGAGGATACTCTCTTTATGACCCGGTCCAGTAAACACGGTAGACAGCAGAGACAATTTTTAAAAAAAAAATTGTATAGACAATATTTGACTAGTCATTATCGCACAAGATATTTTTTAGCTACCATTGGTCGCTCGGGCCGGGATAGGTGAGACATGCGCCCGCTGGACAGCAGGCGGGGAGTCGGGAAGGAATTATCCGGGCTTCACTACTCCGTAGGAGCCGTAAGAGGTTGGGGAATCACAGGGCGTACCGAGTAAATACATGAAAGCAAGCTTCGCATTCGGAAGCGGGCGCTGGCAGAGGCCGGCAGTTGGTAGTTGATTCAAGTGGCCGAGTCGGAGGTAAAACGAGCAGAAGGGGGGTGGGAAGGTTATTGCATCGCCGCACCCACTTCAGCATCTCCAAAACCGCGGTTCTTCTTCACCGTCGCCATCCTGGAGATCAGATGAATCGCCCGACGGCACAAAATCTCCCTCGAGATCAAGTCAATACTAGGCCGGCGCTCTCATGCAAAGATAATGGAGGCTTCAACAAACGGCGACGCCGCCGGTCCAGTCGCCGTGCGCGTGCAGGGTCAATATCTCACTGTCAATGGCCACGTCACGGACGACGCACCAGATATTGACATGCTCTCCCGCTCTCTGCCCACCTCTGGTCCCCTCCTAGAGCCGGAGCCAGCAGATCTCGCTATGCTGCGCCCTGTAACATCAAATCAATCGTGTACAAGCCGCAGTCATGACCACGAAGAAGAGAGCGTACAAAACGGAGACGCCCCGTCTGAACGATCACCACTTCTCCGTTCACGAGCCTCCGTCTCTGGTCTTTCCACGAGCTCCAGTCTGACAGATTCCGAGCCTGCCCTCTTCTTGAATGGCACTTCGCCCTCACACTTCTGGTACATCTTCTCGCAGATTCTCATGGTCCACTTCATCGGGTGCTTCGATGGCACCATCATGGCCTCATCCCATCCCGTCATCACGTCGTACTTTGGCGCTGCCAACTCCGCATCCTGGTTGTCTACGGCATTTCTACTGACATCTACTGCTTTTCAGCCGCTGCTGGGACGGCTGTCTGACGCTGTGGGCAGAAAACCCTTGTTCCTGGGGTCCTTGGCCATCTTTGGCCTGGCCACACTGTGGTGCGCGTTGGCGGACAGCATCGAATCTTTCGTAGCCGCGAGAGCATTCTGCGGCCTTGGCGCGGGAGGGAGCATGACGGTCGGGAGTATAATCACGAGTGATTTGGTTCCCATTGAGTGTGTTTTGCCCGGAGCGTGTGTGCTGTGGCCAGTTCAATTTGCTGACGTTTTGTAGACGGCGAGGAGCGTACCAGTCCTACATGAATATCATCTATGGAGTGGGCTCGGCCCTTGGAGCTGCTCTTGGTGGCGCAATGGCAGAAGCACTTGGCTGGAGATGGGTATTCGGCATCCAGATCCCTCCCTTGGTCACTTGCCTGTGCGTCTCGGCCGTGGCCATACCGATTGACTTGGGCATCATGGGGGAGAGAAAGACGGTGATGCAGGCCATCAGAGAGTTTGATGGGAAGGGGTCACTGCTCCTGACTGTTGCTATTTCGTTTCTTATACTTGGTTTGGTAAGCTGTTGGTCCCTGCGGCATTGTGTCTATGGCTTTGGCTGACTCCGTCATGTACAGAATCTCGGTGGTAATGTGATGCCATGTAAGTGAGCGCAACAAAACGTCTTCGATATCCCAGCACGGTGGCCAAGATTGGAGAAGTCTACAACTGACAAATTGCAGGGTCTCATCCATTTGTCATTGCCTCGCTCATCATCTTTGCCGTCTGCTTCCCGGCATTTATATGGATCGAGTCTCGCGTCTCCAAGCCCATCATGCCGCTGCGTCTCATTCAAGAATCTCCGCGCTCAAATCTCATCTTTTCTAACGGCATCGCCGCCTTGCTCTCCAACGCCATCTTCTTCAACATGTACGTCCCCAACTCTATGCGCCCAGCCTGTTTCGTAGTATTCTCGGAAAAAGCATTCCCCCCCCGGGGGCGGTTGATTCGAAAGACAGGTTGTCACGTCGCTGACTCGACGCAAAAATAGTCCGCTCTACTTTCAAGCCGTCCTCCTCATGTCGGCGACCGACTCCGGCCTCCGCCTCGTCGCGCCCACTCTCGTGTCCTCCTTCATCGGCGCCCTCACCGGCTTCGCAATAACATGGACGCGCCGGCTGAAATGGCCCCTTGTCTGCGGAGCAATCAACTATCTCGTCGGCACCATCTGCCTCTTCTCCCTGCGCCGCAACCTCCCCTCCATCGCCTACTTCCTCACGCTGCTCCCGTCGTCCATCGGCGGCGGCTTCCAGTTCCCAGGGACGTTCATGGCCATCCTGGCCTCGTCGCCGCAGTCCGAACAGGCAGTTGTGTCGAGCACGCTCATTCTCTGGCGCAGTCTCGGTATGGTGCTCGGCATAGCCGTGAGCAGTCTGCTGCTTCAGAATGCGCTCGTCTTTTACCTGGGGGACTATGTGAGTGGCGAGCTCAAGGATGTTGTGATTCGGCGCGTGAGGGCGTCGGTCGAGGCGGTTGCGCAGCTGGACGAGCCGTATCGGGAGCAGGTCATCAGGGCGTATGAGGCGTCGCTGAGGTTGACATTTGGCTTTTGCATCTTCATGGCCGCCGTCTCGGTGGCGTTTGTCATGCCCATGAAGTTGAAGAGGCTGCCTGCCAGGAAGTACGCCAAGAAGAATAGGGTCAATTGAGCATTTACGTTTCAGTTTGTCACGGGGCAAGGGAATAACCAACGTCAAAGGGTCGGTGTAGTTGCATACGAGTGGCTTTTGGATATCACATCATCTCGGAATAAAAGCAAAGGATACAGAATGCATTTCTTCGAGGGGCGCAATCTATTGCTCAGCATATTGCTTCGTGGGGCATATAAAATTACAATACCAACTAATTTACTTTGAATACATAAGAACCAACTTGCTCTGCGCTTCATTGCTCCCAATATCAATCAATCTCCCCCCCCTGTTGGTATCTTTGTTTTTTGTCAGTGGTATCCATTTGTCCCATCTTCCCTTAAGGCGGACAATTCATCTCTCGCCTTTCTATACTCCTCCTGTGCCTCTCTCTCCCGCTTAGTCACATACATGACTTCTTCTCTCAGTGCCTCCAATCGCCTGTCGATGGCCACGTCCTCGGATATGGCTAATGTCTTGAACCCGCTTAGAGCGTTCCTAGCCTTTTCTAGGGCGTCCGTGGCATCGCTGATCTTGTCACTGAGCATCTTTTGTCGCTTTTGGTATCCGCCGAGATGAAGAGCCAACTTCTTCTCCAGCTTGGCTCCTTGCTCTGCTGAAGCCATGATCGTATCTTGAACGGCCTGCGAGAAAGGAAAAAAATAAAAGTTAATATCCTCAAGAGGCCAACCGTTGTTACCATAAAAGGCGGTGCAACTTACGTCAAATGCAGCTCGCATAGCGGCCTCCTGCTCCTCCTCGTCATCGCTATAGCACCCTAATCCCAGCAGCATCGAGTTCTTTGCTCGGCTCTCAAAGAAATCTTGAATCTGCTCTAATTTGGGACGGGGCTTTGTCTCAGACAGAATCAGGAGGCGGGCGTCTGCAAGTGCGTTATCATCAAAGCGCTCAATGGGCTTGTAGGTGCCTTTGACTTGTGAATCAGCCAGGGGATATTGAGCTGCGTCATTGGCCATGAGCAATGCGGTCTCCCTGGCAATCATTGCTTCTGCAGCATGTTGGATGCTGTCGGCTTTCTTGAGCAACATGGTTAGGTCGACAACCGACGGTCGTGGCAAGCCTTTCTGCATGACTTGTGTTCTTCGCCTCCGCTCCAATTCCTCTTCTGCGGCACGTATTGCCTGCTCCCTACGGTCCCGTTCTGCGGCGTCTTCTTCTACTGCCTCGTCTGCTCGCGCCGTTTCCTGTTCCTCGTCAGGAATCTCAAACTCCCATTCGGTATCCTTGGGCTTGGGAAGCGATGCAAGGCCCGATCGTAGTTGATTTCGCATGGCGAGGTCGTGCATCTTGATGTCACGAGGTGTGGCTGAAGGCACAGGCATGCCATCTTGGTTCAGTGAAAAAGTATCACGCGGTGTACGCATCGGCGTTTGTCCAGGGCGGCCGGGCGTTGCTCCAACGCCAGCCCCGGATCGTAAAGGAGTTGCAAGAGGGTTCGGCGTCGCCATAGCTTGTTTCCTGGGGGCAATACCCTCGAAGCCAGTTGAACCTGCTCCCTCATATAAAGGAGTGTTCTCGCCCCCCAATAAGGCCGACTTTGTGTCGTTTAAGGCACGGATATTTCGAATCTCATTCGCGATATGGTCCTCTTGTTCCGGAGCCTTGGGCGTTCGTATCGGCGCGCCGGTGTTGAGCGTAGAATATGAATTAACAAAACCCCTCGTGGCATCATTATCGCTTTCTCTAGCCACCGAATTCGCAGCTTCACCCATCTTACCCATCTTGATGATATCTTCCAACTCGCCCTCGCTGACTTGTGGTGCAGGCAGGTTTAGAGGTCGGCGCTTGCTGCTTTGCTCAGCCTCTCGAATCTTCTGCATTCGACCAGCCTTTATGGCTGCCTTTTGTGATTCAGACAGTCCCTCCTTTTCATTTTTCCTCCTCTTTCGATCGCCATCGTCATCGTCATCATCATCGCCCTTTCGTTTCGTAGCCAGATTCAGCTTCTGGGGATCAAACGCTCTGAGCTGTGCTTGGTTTTGTGCTTTCTCCTCAGACGTATTGTAGAACCCAGGTGCTTCCTTCTTCTCGAATGGAATGTCCGCATTGTAGTCCATCTCACCCTTTTTCCGTGTGATGAC